GTTGTGGAGGTGTCTTTCTGCAAGAGCTGGTCATCGAGGACGCCCCGTGCCTTGAGAGATTGCTACCGCTCGATCCAAAGGGTGGTACAGAGATCATACGCGTAATCCGGGCACCTAAACTGCAGATACTGGGCATGCTCTCTGAAGACATATCCGAATTCCACCTTGGAAGTACAATTTTTAAGGTAACAGCGGCCTTCAGCAATTGCATTTGATATTCTTACCGTGCAGGCTACTATTCTTATATTTGCACTTTGTTCTGCAGAAAATGGTTGCTGTCAGTTTGACAACCAAAATGCACACCATGAGGGTTTTTGTTCTCTGCTCTGCTGGCCCTAATATTGACGAAGTGGTTAACTTCCTCAAGTGCTTCCCCTGCTTGGAGAAGCTGTATGTCATTGTGAGTATAGAACATAGTTGCATGCCTTAATTAAATGTCAAAACAAGCATTTCATGGATGTGTAATCTAGCCAACAATTGTAATGCTAACTTGTTGACAATTTCTTTTGTATTGTTTGTTCTCTCTGTCTCCAGTTCCAGTCACTCTCAGGCACATGGAGCTCATCGAAGGTTATGAAAAATGCTCGGAAGTATGACCCACTGGACCCAATCGAATGCTTTGAGCTCCATCTCAAAAAAGTGGTGTTGAAGAATTATGACGGCAACAAGAGTTTATCTGTTGACTTTGCAAAGTTCTTTGTTCAGAATGCGAAAGGGCTAAATGAAATGAAAATCACATTGCCTTACCACCGCCAGCATGAATGGTGCACTAATAAACTCAATACGCTACGACGCAGCGGTAGAGCTTCTCGAGATGCTCGAATTGAACTGACATGTGGCTCTAAGGACCATTTCACGCACAACAGGCATACCCATGATTTGTCAATGGATGACCCCTTCGACTTGCCCTCCAGAGGATGCTCAAAGTGTATAGAGAAGGGTCTAGAGATGCTATATACCAAACTTAATTAGAGCTTGAGATGCCAAGACCACTAACCTGTGGTGCTAGCCAGTAAGCCTCCAAGCCTTTCTCGGGTGTAGTTGATGCCCATCTTGAACAATGAACATTGACTTGCCTTCTTTTGAAAGCTCAAGCTTTTATTCCTAGCCTTTAATGTTGTCCCAGCCTTCTGATGCTGTAAGAAAGGATGTACTCCCTCCGATTCATATCAATTGACGTACACTTAGTATAACTTTGTACTACTAAAGTTGTACTAAGTGTGTGTCAATTAATATGGATCAGAGGGAGTACTTCATTTAGTGATGGAATGTTTTGTGACTGACTCAAAATTGTACCATGCAAAGGAGGTGGCGTCTAAGCCCAGGCTTGAAATCTGAACTTGCATAATGTATTTTCTGTTCTATCGTGCTTGAAGCGGTTCGTCAGTAGTTTATTTTCTGTTCTGTTGCGCCTGAAGGGGTTCCTTAGTGGTTTATTTTCTGGTCTATTGCGCTTGGATGCTACTCCCTCCGATCCAGATTAGTTGTGACAGATTTAGTACAAGGTTGCACTAAGTTTGCGAGAATTAATATGGATTGGAGGGAGTAGTTTTCAATCTGTTATGTCTAGGTAGTAATCCTTGTTCCTTTGCTGTTTGGTCTTGTATCATAAGCTAGTAACACCAGCAGTTACTATCTTTATGTATCATATACTGTAACTGTCTTTTTTAGTGAAAAAGGATGGCAGTGTCATTTAACTTGCATCATCCTTTAAGCAGTGTACGACATGTGTATGGTCTGGAAGTCGCAAAGCAGAGTACCGCCTCCTTCCTATAAGCAGAGATCCATAAATTGGCATGATTACCTATATAAGATGGTACCAAATATACTGATCAGCATCAATCTTTTCGTATGGATGATGTTTTGTGATAGTCGTTTGTTTACATGCTGAACTAATTTTGCAATTCTACCGTGAAACGTAAGTCTGAAACAACTCCCAGTCTACCACTGAAATGAGATACAGCGAGTTGATCGGCAAACTCTTAGCAGGGAAATTCCCAGGTTCCCAAAATGACAGTCCATTCCTAAAACGCAAAAAAATAGCGAGCTATCATCCGGAACGTCTTTATTTCTATCCAAGTCTTGAGCATCATGAAGCTAAAAATAATTATTTTCTGTTTTCTTGTATTAACAGCAACAAGCGAATAACAAGTGTACAATGTTGCATCATCTTCAGACTTGTGATAGGTAAGAGTACCCATGAGATGCGGCAATGACTGCCGGGGCGTTTGTGTTATTTCCTGTATTTGCTTTGTGATCACTGATCAGATGAGTAAAGTTTCTTGTTGCCGTGTGCATCACCAGGGAAGGCATTATGATGCAGCAGCTAGTGTCAGTCAGCTGCTTAGTTCATACTATTAGTAAGTTTGATGTGCCACAGTTGGAGCTGTTGTCTCCAGGAGAGGATATGTATTAGTGTTCGCAGTAGGAACGGGCTAGTTAGTTATTCTATAGATACAACTCAGAATTTGCAGCAGCCTACTATAATTATTCTCAACTCAAATCATGTTTATGCCAACAAGTGAGGTACCTACATCCTGTTTGTTCACCCAACCAAATATTGTTGTCTGGTTTATGTACAAGTGCAGTAGAAGTAGGGACTTGTAAAGATTGCACACGCAAGGCTTCAGCCTTTTTTGGCCAAATGCTCTGTCAGCTCAGCATCGAGAATTGAACTCTCTAGTTCCCGGTTTGCTTAATCTGTCTCTGGTTAGTCATCCCCTTTTCTTCTGTTGTTGTTCCCCTTTCATATATAGACCAGTGAGTTTAGATCATCTTGTCTGCGAAAATCTCCTACTATTCCCTCGTATTCAAAATGTAATGTGCATCAGTTTTTCCAGAAGTCAATTTTTCTGTGTTTGGTTAAGTTTATAGCAAAACATATCAACGTCTACAATACGTTTATTAGCAAAACATATCAACATCTACAATATATTCAAAATATGGAATATATATCACGACCAATTTAATGGTACTGATTTGATGTTGCATGTATTAGTATTTTTCTCAATAAAATTGATCGAAATTTAAGAAGTTTGATTTTTTGATAAATTAGGAAACCTTGTATTTTGGAAGGGAAAGCGTATTTTCTTCTGAAAAATCCAGCTATTGTACATTTATTCAAACAAGTTGCGAAAATAACACGATATAAAACAGAAGCGGTAAATTAAAAGCCGAGAGATGACACCTATGGGCCACGGATCCGGCTCGCCTTGGAAGTCGTAGGATTACCTACAATGTAAACATTGGATCTTGTACATGCAAACAATAGCACCTGCGGCTCACAGCTTCCTCCCCGCTTAAAATGCAACGCCGTTACCCATGCCCCGCTGCGCAACCTAATGACTTGCCACACCGCCGCCTGGCTGCTGCAAATGCAACATCATCGGTTGCGGCGCTTGCAGCATCTAGTGGACAAAGTTGCAACACCCTAGTCTCGCCTTCGCAGCATCAATGCAAATCAGCGCCATTGCATCCTGGCTAGCCGCTCGCTGCATAGTCACGAACCGGCCGCAGCATCGTCCACTGGGTCACGCGTCGCCATTGACCGATCACAACATCGTTAGTTGGGGTTGCAACATCGCCTTTGTGACTCGTGACACCAACAATCAAGTTTGTCTGATGGGCTCCGCTGTAGTGGACATTAGTCGACTCTCAACAAGTCTGGGTGTCGTATGCAACACCAAGCATCTCTGCAGCATGCGTCGCTGCTCCCAGTGCATCGCTAGCCTGCCTTCGATGAGGACGCAGTGGTCCAGTGGGTTGTAGCCAGTGGCGGAGACAACGGGGACTAGGAGCCCCCCCCCCCCCCTAAAATCAGAATTTTACTGCTAATTTGCTATGAACAATGACATGATTAGTAATTTTTTGCTGCTGGAAAACTTTTTTTCAATAGTTTGGCCCTCCTTGACTTGTTTTCGCAGCACTCCCCCTACTTACTTTCTGGCTCCGCCACTGGTTGCAGCAGTAGGCAACCCCTTACAACACGTTGGTCCGAGAGTGCGGCAACACGGCAACGCCCTTGCAACAGCTTGTGGTGCTGATATTAGCGGGTGCTGGTCAACCGATGCCCTAGAGATGAGGAGGTGAGTGGCACGAACGAGATTTCACAGGTGGCGACGGCGTGGAGTGCGAGGAAGGAGAGATGATGGATGGGGATCAGCCAGGGAGACGAAGAGATATAATGACAAGGCAAGGGGAGTGATTTGTGTGGGGTCCATAAGGGCACATGGCGAGCAGTCGAGGTGGCCGATGCGAGCGCGCAATTGGCCACTCGATTGAAACATTTTATACCTAAATTAAATTTAAAAAATAAAAAATAATAAAAGATCAAGCCTTCTGTTTTCTTTGTGAAAGAAAAACTCCTATGTCCCTCATTCTATTTTTTTGTAAAAGTAAAATTTAACACTAAATACGAAGGGGCTAATAAACTAGGAGGCAAGTAGAAGGATGATGTTGTGTAAACCCCTTGGTTATTTCTCAAGAAAAAAAAGAGAGGGTATACGGGAGAGTTCCCGATCCTTGGATTCGTTCCCGATCCCCCCACCACACCAACTTCCCACGGCGTCTCGGCAAGCCGCCAGCCATGGCTTCGCGGCTGCGGCGGCGGGCAAGGAGGCTGCTGCGGCTGCTGCGGCATCGACTGCAAGCTTCCAAGAAGCGTAAGATCGACGACCAAGATCCATCGGGGAGTGGCAACTGCGACCATGTCGATGGGGGGAGCGTCGATCACATCAGCCGAGTCCCCGACGCCGTCCTCGGCACCATCGTGTCTCTTCTCCCCACCAAGGAAGGTGCCCGCACGCAGGTCCTCTCCCGCCGGTGGCGTCCGATCTGGCGCTCCGCTCCTCTGAATCTCGCGCTGGACTGTGAACTCAAGAACCTGGACTCGATCCCAAAGATCCTCTGAGCATACTGGCCCCGCGCAACGCTTCTCCGTCCGCCTCTTCACCGACTGCGGCGACGAGATCGATGGCTGGCTTAGCTCCCAATCCCTGGACATGCTACAGGAGCTCGAGCTCACCTGCATGTTCTGGCTCGGCCGATTTTCGCCCACTCTCCGCGTGGCCAAATTCCACGGGTTCCATTTCCCCAACTCGATCGCGCAGCTGTCCCTCAAGTTCCCCTGCCTCAAGCAGCTGACCCTGAAAAAGGTCGTCATCTCGGAGGACGTTCTCCAGAGCATGCTCTCTGGCTGCTCTGCCTTGGAAAGCCTCGAGCTAAAGGAAAGTCGGGGCATCAGTCGCCTCTGCATCAGCTCCCAAACTCTTAGGAGTTTGGGATTTTTCGTTGACTGGTGGAATGGAAGTAATCATATCTTTTTGCAAGAGTTAGTCATCGAGGACGCCCCGTGCCTTGAGAGATTGCTACCACTTAATTCAACGGGCAGCAAAGTGGTCATGCGGATAATCTGCGCGCCTAAACTGGAGATATTCGGTATGCTCCTGTCTGAAGTCATACCCGAATTCCAACTTGGGAGTTCAATTATTCAGGTAGCAGCAGGCAGCCTTCATCAATTGCGTTTGGCATTCTTATGTGCAGGCTACTAATCTTATATTTTGCACTTTGTTCTGCAGGAAGGGGTTGCTGTCAGTTTGACAACCAAAATGCACACCATGAGGGTTTTGGCTCTCAGCTCTACTGGCCCTAATCTGGATGCAGTGGTTAACTTCCTCAAGTGCTTCCCTTGCTTGGAGAGGTTGTATGCCATTGTGAGTATAAAACATGCTTGCTTGCTTTAAATGTCACTATAAACATTTGATTGGCATGCAATCTAGCCAACTATTGTATTGCTAACCAGTCGGCAATTTTTTTTGTATTGTTTTTTTCTCTCTCTGTCTCCAGTTCCGGTTACCCTCATACGACCCAGGGGAGTATATGAATGCCCGGAAGTATGACCCACTGGACCCAATTGAATGTCTTGAGCTTCATCTCAAAAAAGTAGTGTTGAAGAATTATGTCGGCAGCAAGACTTCATATATTGACTTTGCCAGGTTCTTTGTTCTGAATACAAAAGGGCTAGAGGAAATGAAAATCACATTGCGTTACCACCGCCAGCACGGATGGTTTTCTCATCAACTCAGCCAGCTACGAGTCACAAGTAGAGCTTCTCGAGATGCTCGAATTGAAATGAGATGTGGCACTAACGATGATTTCACACACAACAGGGATGCCCATGATTTCTCAATGGGTGACCCCTTTGACTTGCCCTCCAGCGGATGCTCAGCGTGTGAAGAGGAGGGTCTAGGAGATGCTGTATACCAAATTTAATTAGAACTTGGGCTGCCAAGACCACCAACCTGTGGTGCAGTAAAGCCTTCAAGCCTTTCTATGATGTAGTTGATGCCCATCTTGAAAATTGACTTTGCCTTCTTTTTAAAGCCCAAGCTTTTGTATCTAGCCTATAATGTTGTCCCGGCGTTCTACTTCATTTAGTGATGGAATGTTTTGTGGCCCACTCAGGATTTTACCGGGACAAAGGAGGTGGTGTCTACGCTCATGCTTTATATCTGAACTTGCATGATGTATTTTCTGTTCTATCGTGTTTGAAGTGGTTCGGTATTTTATTTTCTGTTCTTTTTTTTGTGAACTATTTTATTTTCTGTTCTATTGGGCTTGGATGCTAGTTTTAGTCTGTTATGTTTAGTTGGTTGTCCTTGTTTCTTTGCTGTTTGGCCTTGTATCGTAAGATGGTAACACCAGCAGTTACTATATGTATGTGATCATATAACTTGCTTTAGTGACAACTGACAAAGGATGGCTGTGGCGCTGTGCCATTTAAGTTGTGGCCGTCCTTCAAGCAGTGTACGCCATGCATGGTCTGGAAGTCCCAAATCAGAGTACTCCTTCCCGTAAGCAGAGATCCATAAATTGGCATGAAAACTTATGTAGTACTGTATATGATGGCAGCGAATACTGATCCGTTCGAACACATCCCCAATGCAGCGTGCCGATAACATAAAGCAGAGATATTTATAGTATAAGATTTCTCATAAGAGTTAGTTTTGAGAAACCAGTCAAAGGAAATTCTGGGGTGAACAGAAAGAAAAAGCTACTATGATAGTCCATCTATATCTCTTTCTAAAACTCAAATAAAATATTGAGTTATCATCTAGATAACATGTTTATTTATATTCAAGTCTTGGAACATCATGAGGCTGAAAATTGGTTTTTCCTTGTATTAACAGCAGCAAGAGAATAACAGGTGTACAATGTTGCCTCATCTTCAGACTTGTGATAGGTCATGAGATGCGGCACCGGGTCGTTTCAGCCATTTCCTGTAATCACCTTGTTGCTATGATCAGCCGGGTAAGGTTTCTCATTGCCGTGTGCATGACCAGTAACATTATGATGCAGCAGCGAGTGTCAGTCAGCTGATTTGTTCCACAAAAGTTGGAGTTGAGAAGACATGTATTGCTGCTGGCAACTCAGAATTTGCAGCACCTTATTATTCTCAACAAGTGAGGTACTACAGCCTGATATGTTTATCACAGTACCCGGCTATAAATACTAGTATAATGCCCGTGCGTTGCCACGGGCCAAAATTATATAGAGAGAGATAGTATCATCCAAATAAACTGTAATTCATCATGTGGATGTTGCATACGACTTATAGTTGTATTGCTATAAATTTCTGTCCTTCTAATACATATTTTCTGGTCCCATATATAAACACACTGCATGAGTTCAGCGTGTATAAAAAAGACGGTGACATAAAATTCTGCAATTAACAAAAATGCACTTCGTTTGAAGTGTATGCATCTCAATGAGTTTTTTTTACTCTCTCAACATATTAGGGAAATGAAGATGT